ACATGAAGATACTAGATGTCTTTCAAGAAAAAATGAAAAATGAAATTGAGAGAAAGATAAACAAAAAAGTGCAGGAAATTAATTTAAAAAATGAGAAAAGGGCAAACAAAACATGGGAAGAAATCTATAAAGAAATAGAGTAAAAGACAAATAAAAAAGTGGAAGAAAACAATAAATCCCTAAAAGGAAACCATGAAAAAGCAATGAAACAGGTGAGGGAAACAGTTCAAGACCTGAAAAGGGAAATGGAAACAATGAAGAAGACACAAACAGAGGGAATGCTGGAAATAGCAAATCTGAGTAAACAAACAGGAAACACAGATGCAAGTCTAACCAACAGAATACAAGAGATGGAAGATAGGGTCTCTGGTTCAGAGGATACAATAGAGGAAAGTGATTCATCAGTCAAAGAAAATACCAATGCCAAATAAGTCATAACACAAAATGTCCAAGAAATCTGGGACACCATGAGAAGACCAAACTCAATAATAATAGGGATAGAGGAAGGAAAAGAATACCAACTCAAAGGCACAGAAAATATATTCAACAAGATCATAGAAGAAAACTTTCCCAACTTGAAGAAGAAAATGCCAATGAAGATACAAGAAGCCTATAGAACACCAAACAGACTAGAAGCCCCAAAAAAGTCCCCTTGCCACATAATAATTAAACAACTAAACATACAGAATAAAGAAAGAATATTAAGAGCAGCAAAGGAGAAAGGCCAAATGACTTATAAAGGCAAACCCATGAGAATAACACCCAATTTCTCAATGGAGACTTTGAAAGCCAGAAGGACCTGGACAGATGTAATGCAGACACTAGGATATCATGGATGCCAGCCTAGACTAATATACCCAGCAAAACTTTCAATCATCATAGAGAGAATAACAAGACATTCTAAGACAAAGCCAGATTTAAACAATACTTATCCACAAACCCAGCCCTACAGAAAACACTAGAAGGAAAATTCCAACCTAAGGAAGTCAGATACACCCACGAAAACATGGGCAATAACACCACAGCAGTAAACCCCAAAGAAGAGAAGTGTAAACACGCACACACACACACACACACACACACACACACACACACACACACACACACACTACCACCAAAGGATAACAAGATAACAGGAACCAACAATCACTGGTCATTAATATCCCTTAATATCAATGGACTTAATTCACCTATAAAAAAATACATAGGATAACAGAATGGATATGAAAGCAGGACCCATCTTTCTGCTTCATACAAGAAATGCAACTCAAATTCAAAGATAGACACTACCTCAGAATAAAAGGCTGGGAAAAGTCTTCCCAATCAAATGATCTTAAGAAGCAAGCTGGTGTAGCCATTCTAATATCCAATAAAATAGACTTCAAAATAAAATTAATCAAAAGAGATCAAGAAGGGCATTACATACTAATGAAGCCAAAACTGTACAATGCAAAAAAGAAAGCATCTTCAACAAATGGTGCTGGCATAACTGGATGTCAACATGTAGATGGCTGCAATTAGATCCATATCTGTCACCGAGCACAAAACTTAAGTCCAAGTGGATCTAAGACCTCAACATAAATCCAGTTACTCTGAACTTGATAGAAGAGAAAGTAGGAAGTAGTCTTGAACACATTGGCACCAGAGATCACTTCCTAAATATAACACCAGTAGCACAGACATTGAGGGAAACAATTAATAAGTAGGACCTCTTGAAACTGAGAAGCTTTTGTAGGGCAAAGGATATGGTCAACAAGACAAAATGACAGCCTACAGAATGGGAAAAATCTTCACCAACCCCACATCTGGCAGAGGACTGATATCCCAGAATATATAAAGAACTAAAGAAATCAGACATGAAAATAACCAACAGTCCAATTAAAAAAATGGGCTACAGAGCTAAACAGAATTCTCAACAAAAGAAGCTCAAATGGCAGAAAGACATATAAGGAATTGCTCAGTATCCCTAATCATCAGGGAAATGCAAATCAAAATGACTCTGAGATACCATCTTACACCCCTCAGAATGGCTAAGATCAAAAACACTGAAGACAGCTTATGCTGGAGAGGACGTGGAGCAAGGAAAACACTCTTACACTGTTAGTGGGAATGCAAACTTGTACAACCACTTTGGAAATCAATATGGTGCTTTCTTAGAAAAAGGGTAATCAATCTCCCCCAAGACCCAGCTATACCACTCTTGGGCATATACCCAAGGAATGCTCACTCATACCAAAGAACACATGCTCAACTATGTCCATATCAGCATTATTTGTAATAGCTAGAACCTGGAAAAAACCTAGATGCCCTTCAAATGAAGAATGGATAAATAAAATGTGGCGCATAAACACAATGGAGTACAACTCAGCAGAGCAAAACAATTACATCATGAAGTTTGCAGGCAAATGGATGGGATTAGAAAAAGTCATCCTGAGTGACGTAACCCAGACTCAGAAAGACAAACATGGTATGTACTCACTCATAAGTGGATACTAGATGTAAAGCAAAGGATAACCAGACTGTAACTCACAATTCCAGAGAGGCTACCTAGTAAAGAGGATCCTAAGCAAGATACAGGGATTGCCCAATTAGAAAGCCCTAGCTGACCTACTCTGGTGATCGAATGGCCGAACACCGTAACTGTCATGATAGAACTCTCATCCAGTGACTGATGGAAGCAGATGCAGAGATCTATGGCCAAGCCCCATGGGGAGCTCCAGGAGTCCAAACAGCCAGAAAGAGGAGGGATTATATGAGCAAGAGATACTGAGACCATGATTGGAAAAAAACACAGGGACAAATAGCCAAACTAGTGGAAACACATGAACTATAAAGCAATAGCTGAGGAGCTTCCATGGAACTGGATCAGACCCTCTGGATAAGTGAGACAGTCTATTAGATTGAACTATTTAAGAGGCCCCCAGACAGTAGGACCAGGACCTGTCCTTAGTACAATTCCCACCCTGACATCTCTGTAGCTTTGATTTCCACCAAACACTCAGACTTTCTGCTTCTGCTATGTAAGTGCTGGGACACTGCAGTTTTTGTGTTAGTCATTGTAAGTTTGCTTTGCTGAAGACTGTAAACTCCTATCAACATGTACACTATGTTGATTTAATTTATAATAATTCATTAGTCATATTCATTGTAAATCCTGCAACTTTTCTCCAAATTCCAAAGGAAAGAATATGAGCAAGAAATGTTAGAAACACCACATTTAGAAATTTTGTATAATGACTTATCATAATTACATTCTACTTTACTTTTTTTGAATATTGCTGATTACCTGACCACGTCATCTTTGAATATAAAGGACGCTTTGGATCAAATTTCATCTAACTCCCGGCTGTGCTGGCGCACGCCTCTAATACTGGCACTCGGGAGGCAGAGCCAGGTGGATCTCTGTGAGTTCCAGGCCAGCCTTGTTTACAGACAGCCAGTAAAAGCACCAAAACCACACAGAAAAAAACTCTGTCTCGAAAAAAAATTCATCTACACATAAATAGTGTTAAATCATATCAGTGAGGTCTCAAATTGATTCTTGAGTTGGTAATTCCATCTTATCTTTTGATGATCATTGTAAAGAGAGATTTCCCTACACACTGGATAGAAAATATTTTTCCAAAACGACCAAAAGTTACCCTTAAGTGCTTGTATACTACAACAATAAGGAAAAAAATATTCATTTCATATACTTGTACATGGAAAACTTTTTCAAATGAACTGATCCAAGAAATTATTCTTAGAATGATGGTGAATGTTCAATTAAACTCATATTGACCTCTCAAGGGACCTATTTGAAGTATATTTTTGCCAACTGCCACTTATCCATCTAGTTCCCTTCTGAAGTTCTTTCCATATTCCCTACCAATGTAACAGTCCTTTGTTCCCAGGGTTAATGTATTTGTTCTTTCAATCTTTGTTTGACTTGGGTTATTTTGCCTCCCTGATACACATTTCCACTCATCCTTCTTCTCTTTCCTTTCTGACACACCTGAGTATTTACATCTCAACTTTTTTTTAGCTTGCTGATTAGCATATAGGAGGCTAAGTCTGCTCACATGTTGTTTTGGGGGATTCCAGGTTTCTTTCCAAACACTAGTCTGTCCTCTTACACTGAATATCTTGTGCATGATCACCCATCTTTGGATTTGTGGTGAGTTTGTTGTTGGTAGGAATGCAGTGTAGCAAGAATACTTCCTTTTCTATATTTGCTCATCTTTTAGCATTATACATTTGCCCTTTGCATTTCTCCACTCTGTGGAAAACATAATATAGGGATTAACTTTTGACCTATAGTTTGCAAATAGTTATGGAATTTCATGTTTTGAAACCATGATGATCGGTTATCTCTGCCATGCTTCATAATCTCAGATCAAAGAAATGCAGGTAATCTAAACCATGTAAATACCCCTCCAAAAGTCCTGTCTTTTTCTACCCTGTTCGTAACTGAAATATGAACATATATTATCACCTTCAAGTTTTCCTTTGCCTATGCCCTTCATTAATGGGGAGGGCATTGCATGGGGATCACTTAGAGTGGACATGGTCTCTGAAGGCTTAGTTCTCTGAACTTCAAGCCCATAAAGTCTGGTTTGGAGCAAAGACCTGAGAAGTTCCTGTTTTAAAAACCTGGCAAGGAATTTACCTCATGAACTAAGTCTCAAAATGTGACTTCTGTTATTTTTTGTCCATAAATACCATATCTTAATGTTGATTCATCTTTCCTAGCATTGGTCATGAGGTGTATATCCACTAGGATTTTCAACTTTGATGTTTTATCTGTCTTACACTAGCAATGTGAATAGAATCATTTCAGGTAACCAGAAATCATGGACTTATTTTTTCCTTAATAAGAATTTTTCAATTCATTTATATACAAATCACAGATCTTCCTCTCATTCCTCCTCCCACCCATCCCCAGGTTTCCCCCCAATCAACACCCCATTCCCTCCTCCAAACAGGTCAGGCCTCCCATGGAGAGTCAGCAAAGCCTGGTACATTCATTTGAGGCTGGTCCAAGTCCCTCTCCCTGCATCAAGGATGTGCAAGTTGTCCCACTAAAGGTAATAGGCTCCAAAAAGCCAGCTCATGCACCAGGAACAGATCCTGATCCTACTGCCAGGAGGGCCCATAAGCAGACCAAGCCACACACATGTCTTGCTTATTCAGAGGACCTAGTCCGGTCCCATGGAGGCTCCAAAGCTGTTGATCTAAAGTTGATGAGTTCCCTTTTGGTTCGGTTTTCTCCGTTGGTTTCCCTATCATGATCTTGATGCCCCTTGCTCATGGAATCCTTCTTTCCTCCTTTTCACTGGACTCCTGGAGCTTGGCCTGGTAGACAGAGGCAGACATCAGAGCAAAAGGTAGAAAGCAAGTGCTAGGGAAGTTTCCCAGAATCCAAAAGGAATACCACAGCTTAGACTACTAGCAATAGTGAAGAAGGTACCCAGGCTGGCTTAACCCAGTAATCAGATTGAAGAATATCCTGTAATCATAGAGCCCTCATCCAGTAATCAATGGAAGCAGACAGATTCATTCTTAGGCTTTATTAAATTATGAAAGAAATTAAAAAGCATTTAATACAATGTCAAAGGACCTCTGTCTATTGCTGTTTTTTTTTTTCTTTTTAAGAAGGATTTTTTCTTATAGATGTGTGTATACAAATTTTTGGGTGTGTGTGTGTGTGTGTGTGTGTGTGTGTGTGTGTGTGTGTGTATGTGTTGTTGTTGTTGTTGTGTGTTTATATCTAAGTGCACACAGATGTATGCAGTGACCATGAAGTCCTGACTATTGGATCAACATAACAAGTTACAGAAGGTTGTCAGCTGCCTGACTTGCATACTTAGAAACTGAATCAATTCTATCAAGTGGTCTGAAGAACAGAGCCATCACTTAAGGCTTGTTGCTTATTTACTTATAGCTACTTCATCTCAGAAAGAAAAAAACAAATGCAACATAATTAGATGTATCTATTCCTACTATTTTACAACTTCCATATCATCTTTGGCTGTGTATCATAAAACACTTCACCTCCTGCCTGTCACACAGGAAACAATTCTGTCCAGGGTTCTGAATGCTAACTAATATAAATGGTGATCATCAGAGTGAAAATTGAGGTAGGGAATGATAAAGTACCAGGGTCCATAGAGGAATTAGACTGAGTAAAATTTTATTTTGAATTCCTTTTAGCACATCACATACTAAAGTGCTATCAACTCCTATTTATTTTCTGAATAGCTTAGACTGCTTTATGCAGTGAATACATTTCCTAAGACTACAGTATAGTCTATCAGGATCAAAACAAGTTGTAATAACAGATAAAAAAAAAAAACGCCAAGCAACAAATAATGAAAGGCACAGAAAGAGAACAGCTTCCCACTCTCCCAACCACTCTATGTAGGACACCTCAGAGAAAGCCTTCATTGTCTTGAGCAGCCTCTGGCTGTTGCACTGGGTACCTTGTATGAAATGTCAGTTCTGAATGTCACTGAGCAGGCCAAATATTAGTCAAAGTCCAGATGCAATATTCAGACATCATTTGACAAAGCTGTTCCTTGTATTCCTCTGATGTCAGCTTTCCGAGAACTCTATTCCCATGACAGAGACAATCATTTAAATTGAGATTCAAAGATAACTTCTTCTGAGTTTTCTGAGTTTAAGAAAATGATAGAGAATTCCTAAGAACATTAGTCAAAATTCCCTGGAGAAAAACCCTTCATCTCTCTACAGAGTTTAGAAGCTTCCTTTCATGCATAGAGTTGATCTCTGAGAACAAAATGATCTTTCTGATATATCTGTGGATTTTTAAATAAGATATTTTTAAAACAATGATGGATAAAACAGATAACTAAGTATGTATTAAGGATTTTCTATGAATATAAACATATATTCAACAGGTTGCTAATATATAGAAAAGCATAGAGAGGATAAAACAACAAGTATCTTATCAAGAATGCAATAGAGACATGTATCATAACCTTGGGTATCTTTGTTTTAAAATAATTTTTGAAATAATTGCGTTGTGTTTATTTCATTACCCATCACCTGTCTCTATACACGTCAGTTTTTTCCTACTCCCTCTTCAATGAAAGTCCTCATTTTCTATGATTATATACATATACATATATGTACATTGCATTTACATATTTTATGTAAACATGAAAATATATATTTACATATATCCAGAAATAGATATATAATTATATCCTGCTGAGTCCATTTAGTGTTTCTTGTGTATACATATTTTCACAGCTATAGTGGATAACTCTTGGGATCCTTATCCCTTGGGATGAGAGTTTCACCCATTTTTAGTAGTTAATAATCTGTAATACTTCATCTTATTTGCAGTCTTGTGAGATCTAACCCCAAACCTTTTGTCTTGTCTACTGGTATTATCATCTTCCACATCTTGCTTAGGTATGGTTAACCATATTTCTGAGAGTTTGTCGTATAGCTTTCCTGTCATGTATAGAATACATGATCTCACAATGAATACACTGGACCTCTAGATTTTACATTCTTTAAGAAACGTCTTCTATGATGATCCCTTAGCCTGATGGGTCATATTATTCATATACATACATACATACATACATACATACATACATACATACATACACAGAGACACACACAGACATCTCCAAAATAGCAGATACCTTCATGACATTTTCAAATTCTTTACCAATATACCTGTTACTGTTCCTCCTTCTCTCTTTGTCATCCTGGGATTACTCTATTTCATTCTCCCACGTTCATTATGTCCTTTTTCTCTTTATCCAATCTGAGTTCTACTAACTCTTTGCCTTGAAGTCTCCCCATTCCATAGCCCGTTTCTCATGCTGTAATTTTGCAGCTCATCCAATTTAAACACCATATGTAAGGAAATTGCAACTCTTTCTTTCATGTTGCCAATTGATGGTTCTCTAACAATACAGTACAAACTAGCAATACCCGTTGTGAAAGCTCTTATTCCAATGGATATAAATATGTTTCTGTCTGTTGGTTGATAGCATAGAAAATGCACTCTCCTAGGTTCTGCTTCTGCTTGTGAGGAACTTTCCTCTGCTCCCTTGTGTTGCCCCATAGATTAGACATTTGGTTCTAAAGCAATATTTTGAAACCAAACAAACATTCACAAAACTGTATTACCTTCTGTTTCAGATGCTTTCCTTTGCTAGGCTTCCCTTTTAAAGCAGTCACTGAATAAGGCTGGTTTACAGAAAACGACTCAGTCACGATGATAAAAGTGGTGGAATATAAGTATTGCGGAAATTTTTCTTCTGAGCATGGCAGACACATTTCTCTCTTGAAATAAGAAACCTATGGCTACTCACAGGAGACCTTCACAAGATTGTGACCAAGAACGTTCCCTCATAAAGATTAGTACATCAAAGAATGCACACCAAGTAGTTCCTATGATTAATGGACAACAACCTCAAAAAATAGCAAAATAAGTTTTTCCCTTCACCTCATGAACTTGCAGGTATGAAGACATGCACAATTTGCCTTAGGTGAGCTTTACTGCCTATCTGTGAACAATATGAAAAGTTCTGAGAAGGGAATCCACCAATGTCCAGTACAGCTTAATTCCTGAAAATTCCCAGATCTTAATGACAAACATTAGGACTATGTCTTAGAACAATCCAAATATAGAGATGTTGCTGGCATTCCATGAAAATATTATCAACATCATTGTTATCAATAAAAAGTATAAAATTAAAACAGTTCATTTAGCAGGAATCTTTAAAGTTCTTATTAATAAAATCAAACCTGAGGCCAGTTATTGGGGTGAATGCTGGAAGATCAGAGAAGCAGAACAAGCCACAGCTACCTAACCTTGCCAGTTCCTCAGCTGATCCTGTTTCCTCAGACTGGAAGCCTCTGAGTCCTCATCCAGAATGGGTCTCAGCTGAACTGTAGTTCAAAATCCTAAGAGTTTAACCAGCCAAATGTTTAACCAGCCAAATGCTTCTAGTTTCTGGTCTCCAGGCCTTATATATCTTTCTGTTTTTGCCATCACTCCCTGGGATTAAAGGCTCACTTTCTGGGATTAAAGGTGTGAGTCACCATGCCTGGCTCTTTCCAATGTGGCCTTGAACTCATAAAGATCTAGAGGGATTTCTGCCTCTGGAATGCTAGGATTAAAGGTGTGTGCTACCACTGCCTATCCTCTATGTTTGATATTGTGGCTGTCCTGTTCTCTGACCCCAGATAAGTTTATTAATGTGCACAATATTTTGGGGAACACAATACCACCACAAGTTCAGTCTGTTATAATGGTGATTGTCTACTGGCAATTATCAAGTACATGTTGTTTTGCATAATATCACTACAGGACTCCCAGACTCAGTATCCATGCAGGTTCATTCAATTGTCCTCTATCTCTAAGTCCCAGGAGTTAGGCGCAGGAAGATCTCTGGGCAGTTTGTTGATTAAATATATTGACTGGTGTGCGTTAGTTCTGAAAAGGGAACAAAATGTGTATTTTAAAAAGTGCAAGTCCTGCAAGGTCTCCAATGATATCATGGCCCAGATGGTCCCACATTCAGAACTGCTTCAAGGCAACTGGCTCAGACAATGCAGCCTCACAGACTTTTCCAGTCAGGACTTAGCCATAATTCTTAATTTTCTGAAGACCCCCTAAAGAAGTCTTCACCCTCATCCATCAGGAAGTAGTATAGGAAGCTACATCCCAAACAATAAAAATATATTGTTTATAAATATTTATTTTATTTAGAGGAAGTGGATTATGAATGGAATCTCTTTCTGAAGAAGAAAAGGAAATATAGATATGATGGGATAAAGAGTAACAACTTGTTTAAAATGTTTTACATTGCTATGGATTTCAGTTTATTGATACAAATTTAAATTTAATTTTGTTATACTCTATGTATATTTCTACCTTTGTTTAAGGTATTATGTTTGTGCAGCTGATTTGAAATTGTAATGTGTAATTAAGAAATACAGATTAATAGTTTGTCTTCTATGATAGTCAAACTTATAGTCATGTTAGTTAAATTTTCTAGGTATATCTAGATATATTTCTATTAGGTAGGTAATCTTCAAATACTTCAAAGACCTACAGAATTTGGCATTTAAAATGTTTTAAAAACTTAGACTTTTGGATAGTGAGACATGTCTGCTACTGGCAACACCGATTTACTTCTAAAAGGAAGTAGGGCATTGAAGACATTCCACCTGGAGTTTATTTTCTTCTTGGCAAAAGTCAGCCATTTGGGCAAGAAACTGTTCTTGCCTGGACTGCTTGACAAAATATTTTATCAACTGCACATGCAGGACCCATGGAAAAATAAATATAGGATAGATAGAATATTTTCTTTAATTTTGCCAAATATGAATGGACTAGAAATTGTAATTGTAATTTCTGCTTGATAACTGTTCTATTACATGAAATTTTACTATGATAAAGTTAAAACCTTCCTTTTTGAATAGACAAAAAAGGGGAAGTGCTGTGGGATATCCTTTCTTTATGCTATGAGTATGTATTGCTCTGATTGCTTGATAAATAAATAAAAAAGATTGATTGAATTGGCCAGGCAGCTTAGTGGCAGGCAGAAATCCAAGCAGATATACAGGAAGAGAAAGTAGAGGCAGAGAAAGGCCAGCCTACCACCAAATGAACGACATGCCAGCAGACCGATAAGATATGGAGCGCATGGCAAAATACAGATTAATGGAAATGGGTTAATTTCAGATATAAGAGCTAGCTAGAGAGAAGTCTGACATATGCCATTAAGTTGGTAAATAATATTAAGTCTCTGGGTGATTATTTTATAAGCAGCTGCAGGATATGAGTGGGAGAGATTCATCCTGACATTATGGCAGGGCAGGACCAGAGAAATCTTCTGACTACATGGTACTCTAGCTCTTACAATCTTTTCCCCCCCATTTCTGTGATGTTATCTTACCATTAGCTTTAGTGGTCTTGTTATGGATGTATATATGGGGAAAAACAAATCCACATGACAAGTTTCCACATGACATTTTTAATTGCTTTACTCCCTGTTTAAAGTCAGCCCTCCCTGTTTTTCTCCCTACTCTAGATTTCTATAGTTCCCTTACTCCATTAAACCATTCTTCTTTCTTTTTTATCCATGACAGTGAAGTAATTCTCAGTCACATCTCAGGCTCCACTGCTAGTTAATGGTTCTTTTTTCTGTTCCCAGAGCATCCACAGTGACATCCTCCTGAGTCTTGTACCTCTCCAAGTAGTCCACATGGGTTATAGATAATGTTCTTTGATTTTTCTCTCAAACATACCACTGTTAAAACCTTCCATGAGTCTGACATGATTCAAATCAGCTTCAGGAACATTGATTCCTTTTCCCTGTTAGGTTATATTTGTTATTGGATAAGTGGTTAGTTAAGCATAGTAAGATAGGAAAACTCAAGGGTTATTAGATAATAGAAGATAACTCCTCTACATGTTGTTTATGTCTTACTCTGTCTGAGAACCCAGAATTTTGACAGAGCTGGTCTTATTGGCTGCAAAACAGAAAATACTGAATGTGGCCCATCCCCAATTATTACTCTTTCTGTGTAGACGGTATAGTAAATAGCAGAATATAAAGTGTCTTTCACAAAGAAGAACATGAACTATGCACACAGTGAAATTACACTTGCCTTTCCTGTCATCTATGTCTGCTAGGAATTTATTTGAGTTTTTCGACCCAGATGTTTATATATTATCACTATGATTTCATTAAATGCTAATGCATACAATGTACTTTATGAACCATACCATACTCCACTTAGTTAAAAAAAAACTTACTTAACTTTATGAAGCTCACTGTGATTTGTAATAGAGTTTCAAAGAAAGTGGACATTCAGGATTTTGATCTCTATAGATGCCTAAGGAAGGAGAGTGTAGAACAGGATGGGGAGCAGATGCCCTCTTGTCTTTAGTTAAGCCACCATAGAGTTCATCCACATGTGGGCAAGGATGCTTATGGTGGTGAGAGAAGATTAGAAAAGGATCAAGGAATCCCAAACTATTAGGGAAAGCATGATGACTCCAGAAACAGAGATAAGAACAGAAAAGTGTATGCTTCTGTTAATATTGTCATAAAACAGGCAGGATTAAGAAACCACATTGTTGTGTCCTAGTTAGATATTATTTTGCTTATTGTTTTGAGCTTAAATAACTATAACATATTTACAATGCTGTTACTTTATACGACTCAATTTATTTTATGCTGGTGACTTTTTCAAGGAGCAGCAGATGGCAATTGAAGTCCAGGTGTCAGCCCACCAGAGGAAAATGCCTTATGGATGATTTTCATATAGGAAAGGCCCCAAGACCACAGACTCCAGGATGTCTTTTGCTTCTGCTGTGCCTTTATATGTTTGTTGCTGCCATTTTTTTCTGGTATGTTGTATGGTATGAATGAGTGTGGAGAGATCCCCACTGCTTGTTATGTAGTGTAGTGGGTAGCCATTCC